TTAAATAACGTAAATATCATTCTTTATCTTCTTTTTGAAAACAGCTAAGGTAGAAACATAAGTTTCTAACATAAGTTTCTTCAAACTTTCAAGAAACTCTAAATTATTGCTGATGATTACTCCACATCTCAAAAGGAGTTAAAATTTTTTTAAACCATCGGCAAACTTACAACTCTTCAAAGGATGAAAGGAAGAACAAAGCTTTTTTTTTCCAATTCCCATGAATAAGAAAAATTATCATAATTAAATACTTTATTATGGTTGGCGTTTTAAGTACTAGTAAAAGAAAGTCTTTCAAAGCTCAATCTTTCAGCCTAAAGTACACGGTAATCATAACTATGTATAATAAGATACAAACACCTTTAGTAAAATTTCATTTTTTTCTTCAAAACACTCCAAAGTACTTTAATCCCTTTACCTAATTATGCCACCTCAAGAAATAAGTAGCAAAGCATTATCCCCATGATACAGATGGCCAAAGTGAGGCCGAAGGTTAAGCGGTTTATCAAAGCCACAAATAAAGCCAATATCAGAGGGGAGACTTGTTTTAAGAAACTACACTTCTCTACCTTTATGCTATAACTAGGCAAGTGGTTACAACTTAGCATAACTAAGAAAAACTATAGCTTTTAGTATCAAAGCTTTGCAAAATTTTTCTTTGGATGAAAGGCTGCGGTTGGACATTCCTCAGAAAAAGTACTGTACAAAACATACATATTTCATATCGTCCTTGGTTCTTCTGAAGCAATGAGGGCCCATCAGTTTGGGGGAGGGGATGAGTGTCTTTTGTGTATATTCATGTGTATTTTGAGTACTTTGTATTCATTCAACCAATATTGGAGCATAATCCACTGTGCGAGGCATGATGAAGATACAAAAACGTGTTAAGTTAGAGATCCTTCCCTCAGTGGTTTCACTCTGGGAGGGTGCTGAGACACCCACATTAACTTACAAAGCAAGACAAAGCTCATCGAGTAAATGTGCAGACATTAAAGGCTACAGGAGTTTAAGGAGTGGGAGATGAAGACAGACTGGGTGGAGCTGAGGAGGTTTCACGTAGAAAGTAGTACTTGAGCTGGGTCTTGAGGATGGGGGATGGGTGCATTGCTGGGAGGCAAAGGCAGTAGGGACAGTATGAAATTTTCAAAGCCTGGATGAAAATGGATTATTTAATTGTTTGCATGACCTGCGTGTGATACTCTATTTCCAGGTACTGTGTTAATAACTGTAAATACATGATTTCATTTACTCTTTATATCATAAAATTCTTTTGAGGTAGAGATTATGATCTCCAATTCATAGACAAAAACCTATGGCTCAGAGAAGTAAAGCAATGGACAAAGTTTGCCCATTTGGTATAAATGATGGAGACAAGATTCAAACGCAGGTCCATCTGACCCCCCCTGCTTTTGTGCTTAACTACTGTACTATACTGTCTCTTTTCAAGAGGCAATCTTCGAGGAGTTTTTTTTTTAAAGGTGGTCACCAAATTTACAAATATAGCTTTTGTCTGTAGTAAAAAAATACAGCCATTGCTTTCTTACTGAGGTGAACTTGCTTTGCTATAGCTCTAAGATATCACCTTTGACCTAGGCATTGGGATATTTCACAGTTATTGCTTACTAACTGGTGCTTGTTAAGTCAAGGTATTCCCACGAAGAACTTTAGGGAAGGCAGCAGAAGTTTTGTAACCTTGGTTCTGATCAGAGGTGAATATACCATGTCACTGTGAGCAAGAGTGCAGTAAACAGCGTCCCCCACCTTAACCCCCCACCCTGGGAACCTAGTAACAGGACATACTTTTCTCTTCTCCAAGGCCCCTTTAAAGTTTGTCTGTCTGACTTCTCTAATGATTTACTGTTTCAGGTTGTGGCAACTCTACGCAATAAAAAAAGCATCAGAGCCTAGATTTTCCTTTATGTTCATATTTCACATTTATTCCACCCTTACTCTCTTAGTCAGACTCTCCCTAATCAAATTCGGCCTCATCTTCCTCAACACCAACTCTTGGTCCTGGATGTGATGTGATTTCCAGCGTTAGCTTTCCAAATGGTTCAAAGAAGAATAAAAGGGAATACAGCACCTGTAGCAAATACTTCTTAAATAACGAGAGGCCTAATACAAACCTTTTAAAGATGCCTTAGCCAAAAATGTCTTATGTTAGCCTATCTCAACTCTGTAATTTTTCCCACAAAGATGCAACTAAGGAGTTTTATCTCAACTACTCCAATTCCCTTCACCAGACCACTAAGAGGGGTGGGGTGCAGTAAGGATGGGTACCTGAGTAGACTTTCCAGAAAGGAGAACCGAGGATGCTGGGAACCATCTTGAATTCTGGTGAAAACAAAGAATCTTTGGTATTCCATAATTTAAACTAGGCAGCTTTTTTTTTTCCTCATAAACAGTTTTATAAATATGAATATGAACAGGAGATCAAAACTCATTGTGCTGTGGGCTATGGAGGTTCATTCTGGTTTACCCCAGTATGAGTCATTTTAACAAACATGCTTGGTTGTCTAGCATGAAGAAGCTCCCCACCATGGCACCCAAGGTTTACTGCTAGAATCGTTATACTGATTATTAGAACCATAGTTCTAAGACAAGACATAGTAGGCATTCTTAATATTTATTGAATAAATGATAATATATGCACGTTGCCTTATGCTCTTACATCTCTACATATATTGTTTTGTTTTAGTTTCTGTTCAGGAAAATGAGGTTGGGAGGAAAGGTTCATTCATCAGAATTGTCCCCATTTTATTGGTGATAGCTTAAAAACTCAGAAGGTAAGCAGAAAGGCAAAAAGGCACCTTACCCAGCTCTTCTGATTATTAGCATATTGTTCTTTCCAATCCTTACTAGCTTGCTACACATGAATCTCTCCTTTGCTTTGAACGCCCTCCATTCTTCTAAGCATCTTTTAAGACTTAACTTCAGCATTATTTGCACTTTGAAGTCTCTTTATGTGACACAAAGTGATCAGTAGTAGCACATTTCACATCATTTTCTAACTACTTATTTTCTTGTATGTCTCTCTCCTGCACTAGACTGCATGCTGTATGAGGACAGGAACCACTGAATCTCCACTGTCTGTATAGAGACAAACCAGTTGCTCTTGAGTCAGTTCTGACTTATGGTGGCCCCAAGTACATCAGAGTAGAACTGTGCTTCATAGGGTTTTGAATGGCTGATTTTCTGGAAGCAGATTGCCAGGTGTTTCTTCTGTGGTACCTCTGGGTGGACTTGAACCTCCAACCTTTCAGTTAGCAGCTGAGCACATTAACCATTCACATCACCAAAGGATTCCCATATACAGACTGACACTCAATAAATCTTTGTTTAATGAATGAATGAACCTTCATGATCCCCACCTCTGAATTCCTACAGAAACTTTTGCTTTTAAAATTCATTTAGCATGAGGAATATGCTAACCTGGCCATAAAAAGAGGAGAAATAACATATTTTATCTCCTTGATACCTTAAGACTTATGACTAAAAGGATTTCATATCTCTCATTCTCCACTAGAGTTTAGATGCTCAATGAATGTTGACTATGAGTACCATATCATAACGTTATCCCATTTAAAGAGAGTTATGGGATTATATAATCCAATGCGTATGCAGGCTTTCAAGTAAAAAAAAATATATATGGTAAGCTTCTCTGATTATACCATGTACATACACACAAAAGTGAAAGAATATAGGATCTTAAGAAAGTTCTACCAATGACCACAAGATGTTTAAAGATGGAGCAAGTAAGTTTCCATAACTGCATATATAGAAACTGCTTTACACAATATTAAAATACTTATTTTCTTTAATGTGATTTCTCCACATGTGCATTGGACAGCCTCTCAACTGCTGTATTTTCCCAAGATACACACAGGGTATTCATAAGGGGATTCAGATTTGTGGGGCTAACATTGAGATTAATGCAAGAAATATCAGTTTCCCCAGACATAAGTCAAAGTAGACAAGAGAGTATAATTTTCTAGGATGGTTTATGATACCAGCTGGTAGATACCTAAACGAAAATCTGATGGAAGAAAGCAAACGTGGTTACAATTATTCCTACCCCTACTGTGGGAGTTTCATAAACAAACTAATAAATATTTTAATCTTGCAATAAAGATCAAGTTAAGTGATTTGCTGACATTCTCTTGAGGTTTAAAGCTTGTCTTTAATGTGAAATACAAATCATATTTCTTGTGGACACATTTTAATAATAAACTTAAAAGCACATGAGACAAAAATAATGAAAACACCGCAATGAGAACCAGACAAACTATCTACCACTTCAAAAGGAGTGAATGAAGACCGCTCGTCAACACCCTGATGCAAACAACCTCAACACAAAATGCCACATATTGAAATCAGGTTTCACGGAAAGAGAATCAGCAGAGATGAGAGACTGAACAACAGCTATTACTTGAAAACAGGTAACTAACCATATGGAAATATACTCACCTAACACACACACACAAACACAGCACAAATTGTGGGACAGATCTGATTTGGGTTCAATCCAAATACCTCCCAACTTTCTACAAAACCCAACGGAAAAAGAAATAGGCTTAGTCCCTTTTTGTATCAGGAGAGGATCAAGGACTTGATGCCAAATCTCTTACCGATTGCTGTCGAGACAATTCCAACTTGTGACAACCCCATGTGTGCCAGGGTAGAACTGTGCTCCATGTGGGTTCTCAATGGGTGATTTTTTGGAAGTAGATCATTAGGCTTTTCTTCTGACGACCTCTGGGTGGATTCGAAACTCCGACCTTTTGGTGAGCCGTCAAGTGCATTAACTGTTTACACCACCCAGGGACTCTGCCAAATGTCCTGGGTTCCTAATATTCCCAGGCTGTCTTGAAGGATAAGAAATTGGAAAACTCACTGCCTTTGGGAACATTCTGGGGGCGTCTTCATTGTCTCTCATCTTGCTACTCTGGTTCCAAGGCCATCATTCAAGTACAACTGAGGGCCCCTGTGTAGTGGCTCACCTCTGGGTCCTGTAATGACAGGTCGGTGATGCTGTGTGAATGCTGTTCCCAGGGAGGAGGTCTGCGAAGGCGAGGGGCTGCTAAAACCAGACTTCTCCGACTTCTTCAGTGTGGTTGGAGATGGCATTCCTGGCGAGAAGGATTGATTGATAAGCACAATTTAAATTAAGGAACAACTGCTTGGGAAACCTAAAAGTTAAAACTTAAAGAATTACTAACACACAAAAAAAGACCAGATTTACTGGCCTGACAGAGACTGGACAAACCCCGAGACTATGGTCCCCGGACACCCTTTTAGCCCAGTGGTGAATCACTCCCGAGGTTCACCGTTCAGCCAGGGACTGGACAGCCCCATAAAACAAAATGGGACTAATGAGGCACAGCAGTCCAGGGACAAGGAAGAGAAGGCAGGAAGGGAGAGGAAACTGGTGATAGGAACCCAAGGTTCAGAAAGGACAGTGTTGACATGTCGTGGGGTTGTTAGCCAATGTCATAAAACAATGTGTACTGACTGTTTAACGAGCAACTATTTTTTCTGTAAACCTTCATCTAAAGTACAATAAAAAAATTTTAAAAATAAAATAAAGAATTAAAAAAAAAAAAAGGAATCCACCTGTGAATGGAAAATTTGTTCTGAATTGCTTTGAATTTGCACTGGAACAAACAGGTCACAGAATGGTCTGTGGATAAGGCAGTCTATAACGGATTTCAATTTATTCTACTAATCACAGATCATTTGGGGGCTATTGATCTTCTCTAATTATGTAGAGCTCAACTTTTTCAATGTTTCTGGAAAGTTGTTCTCTGTGCGCATGACCTCTGGGATCCTCTAAAAAGGTGGCTACTTAAGCATGTGAACATTTCACATGCAATCATTCCCTCCTACTAGTTACCTTAGTTCAGCTCCAAAACATTGTCTCCACATTTTAAATAATTTAGCTATTTTAACATTTAAAAAAATTTCAACAATGGCAATTCAATTATTCATTCAATAAATTATTTACGATAGGGGGAAAAAAAGGTAAAAAAATGAAAATGCCCAACAATTAGGGATTGGTTAAATAAATATGTAATAATCAATGAAAATAATACTGTAGATGAGTAATTACATTAAAAAATATTTATAATACAAATTGAAGTGAAAATATAATTACAAAATAGGACGTTATACTGTGATGACATTTTAAAATGTATTTCTACGCACTGAGAAAGAACTGGAAGGAAATATGTATAAACTATTAACAGTAGTTCTCTCTGTGTGTTCGATTTGGGTGCTTTTTATTGCCTTTTTTTTTCTTGCTTACTTGTATTTTCTAGGATGAACATATACTACTTTTATGTTAAGAAAAAACAACAGAAGCTTGTTTTTAAAAACAGTATTTTTACTATCGTGTCTAAGGTTTTCAGCAGCATTTCCAGCATGGGAAATGCTTTGAGAAGAAAATAATGAGAAAATAGTCAGTTGTTACTGGATGTGTAATGTTCTCAGTAATCACGCTGACACATACAACTGGTGGCATCTATCAGTAGGTAGGGTGCCAATGAAAATTTGGATATAATAATAAAGGAAATGACTCCTAGTCTGTATATCACAGGACAAATTTGAGCTCCCTTAAGTTTGCAGCACAGAATTGGTCTGCTTGATGTCAAAAGAACCAAATCTTATTTTACTTGTACACATCTACCTGTGTTGTGTTCTGCCTATGATTGGAGAATTATCTGGGTGAACTGGAAAAACAATAATGAAAATAATAATGGTATTAGCATGTAATGGTTATTGAGCAGTTTCTAAGTGTGCTGAGCACTTTATAGGTATAGATCTCCCAGAAATAGTTAGTTTGGTCTAGAAATAGCATGCCCTTGTTATGTCTGATCACAGATTTTCTAAACAAGACACTACAACATGACCCTGGAGTGTGACTACAGATTCTGTAAGAGATCATGTCTGGTTTGTCCCCTCTCTATCCCCTTTGCAGGATATCTAACACAGGTTCTGGAACACAGCAAGTGGTCCTGAAAGATGTTTAAATTACTTGTGCAGGTGTCAGCTTTATCTGTGACTTTACTAATGAATGCTTGAACGCAGCAAACCTTGGGGTTTTGACCCAAAGAAAGGAACAGATTACAAACCGGTAAGCACATTTGCTCAGTCAAACGTTAAGTATAATAAGAAGTGGTATGTGATTTCATATTAACTTGACAAATCCATTGTAGATCAATATTGTAGATCCATTCTAGATCAATATTTACGTGAATTAAATTAAAAGCAAATTTATTAAGTGACTTTAACTATATTTGTTTGTTTGCTAAATCAATAACCAAAGTCACACCATACCAATGTTCTACCACAGTTATGATCAATTTGGGTTTTGAATCAACATTTATTGTCAGTAAAATTAGCCTCGGAGGAAGCATGATTGTGTCAAGTGAGTTTGATAAAAATGATTACCTAACTTAAGGTATCATGATTTAATTACATTAGGGAGGTGATTTCAAATAATAAAAGGAATAAAAAGCAACAAAAATGTAAACAAAGGTCCCAATTCATTCAAACCTCTTTTGTGCAAACCAATTTTTAGACTACGAACCAATCCACTGATTTAAATTTAGACAAATGCCTGAATTATGTGTCATGAAACAGAAATAACATAGGAAATAATGCCGAAACTCTTAAGATGGCATTTTTTTCCCAGACAACCTGGAATCACTGGTGAAGTCCAGTATTTGAACTAACCTTATTAAAGAAAGCAAATGGTTGTACTGATGGAAAAGTTATCATGTCTTTCAAAAGTTCTAAATACTGCAGAAATACTGACATGATTTAAACCCAACATTTACCCTTATTAAACAGAAGGGAACTATAACTAAAATTTAGGCACTAACAAGTATCAAGAACATTCAGGTTGATATCTGGGTTCAAAACAACAAAACTCAAATCTTCTTTGAAAGGGTTAACGAAAGAAGAAACACTGTCTACATATAAGAAGAATAAGCCAAACTATGGATAATCTTCTAAATTTATCACAGTCAAGTAATATGAACCCTAAGGCTGTCATGAATCTCAAAATTACTCTGTGTTTTCAAAATTTAAAGACTAGTACTGAGCACATTTCCTTATTATACAATTTAATATTTTATCTATATTCATATTTTGGCTAATTTGCTTCATATTCTTAACTGATCTGATGAAATTTCAAAATACTAATAAATTGATTTAGAGGACATTAATCTTGGCTTTTATTTTTGAAATCAAGTTTGGTTTCTGTACATTACTTTAAAAACAAACTCTTGGTTATTTTTTTTTTTTTTTAACCAATTAGCCATGCACAACTATTACACAATTACTGTACAGATTAATGATTGATTGGATTTCTCTTACTGACTCAAAACTTTAATTTCAATAATTTTTAGAGTTAACATATATCTTTTTATAGATTACAGGTAAAATAACGTTACCTTTTTTTCTGGAGCAAAGAGGAAATACTACTTTAAAGTTTGACATAGGAAAATAAAGAATTTTATAGAATGAATATTATGCTAGTAGGAATCTAGCATAATATTTTTTTTCAAAGGGACATATCATCCTTTTGATTAAAATCCCAATGGAGATAAACAGTAAGAGGCAGATTTCAAGAAACTTTTTGGCTGGTCATTGGTTTTCTAGACATCCAGAATTTCTGAATTTCCCTCCACTTTGCCACTTTTCTAAGATACCTGAGTCCTTCCCGACTGTGTTCAGCACACACAGGTAAACATAAATGAAATTTTACTCATTCAGTGAATTTGATACCTGGAGGCATTTAATAAGCGTGAAGTCCAACAGGAAAACCTTGGAAGTATCAGCCAAACATAGTTTTCACAAAGATTCTTTTAGATTCCTCATTAATATTTGAGGTAGTCAGAATTCTAAAATGGCCCTTAAGATTCCCGGTCTCTGGTGTACAATGTTGTTAGGTACATATGAGTCGGTTCCAACTCATGGCAACCCTATGTACAATAGAATGAAACAATGCCCGGTCCTGCGCCACTCGCACAATCGTTGCCATGTTTCACTCCATTGTTGCAGCCACTATGTCAATCCATTTCTTTGAGGGTCTTCCTCTTTTTCGTTGACCTCTACTTTAACAAGCATGATGTCATCCTGCAGGGACTGGTCCCTCCTGATAACACGACCAAGGTAAATGAGACGAAGTCTCACCATTCTCACTTCTAAGGAACATACCTTGTATAATCCCCTCCCTTGAATGTGGGTAGTACCTGTGAATATGATAGATGTCACTCCATGATTGTTGTTGTTAGGTTGTTAGGTGCTGTCGAGTCAGTTCCGACTCATAGCGACCCTATGTACAACAGAACAAAACACTGCCTGCTCCTGTGCCATCCTCACAATCGTTGCTATGCTTGAGCCTGTTGTTATAGCCACTGTATCAATCCATCTTGTTGAAGGTCTTCTGCTTTCTCCCTGACCCTCTACTTTACCAAGCAAGATATCCTTCTCTAGGGACTGATCCCTTCTGGTAACATATCCAAAGTATGTGAGACGTAATCTCGCCATCCTTGCTTCTAAGGAGCATACTGGTTGTACTCCTCCCAAGACAGATTTGTTTGTTCTTTTGGCAGTCCACGGTATATTCAATTTTCTTCGCCAACACCATAATTCAAAAGCGTCAATTCTTCTTCAGTCTTCCTTATCCATCATCCAGCTTTGGCATGCATATGAGATGACTGAAAACACCATGGCTTGGGTCAGGGGTACCTTAGTCTTCAAGGTGACATCTTTGCTTTTTAACACTTTAAAGAGGTCTTTTTCAGCAGATTTTCCCAATGCAATGAGTCTTTGATTTCTTGACTGCTGCTTCCATGGGCAATGATTGTGGATCCAAGGAAAATGAAATCCTTGACAACTTTAATCTTTTATCCACTTATCATGATGTTGCTTACTGGTCCAGTTGTGAGGATATTTGTTTTCTTTATGTTGAGGTGTAACCCATACTGCAGGCAGTGGTCTTTGATCTTTGTCAGTAAGTGCTTCAAGTCCTCCTCATTTTCAGCAAGCAAGGTTGTGTCATTTGCATATTGCAGGTTGTTAATGAGTCTTCCTCCAATCCTGATGCCAAGTTCTTCTTTTT